CTTTGCCTTAGGAAATGGCTGGAAGTGAATGTTTAAACCCCTTTCCACGAAATTGTGGCTGTGTTTAAATCACTTTTTGTTTTGCACAATGTAAAAATTTACATTTCTTTCTATGGAAGGCTCAGTTGTAAAAATCCCTCTGTGCATTTTAAAAACTGCCTTGAAAGGCCTCTGGGAAAAAGTCTGGAGGAGGTGATCAGGAGGTCAATTCTCTTCACACTTCTTTTTTGGGGGGCCAGGAAGTTACAGGGATTTGGGGTCCATTTTCAACTTATCTCCCTGGGAAAGAAGCTGATTTGGCAGGATTGGTGTGAAAACCATCAAGAACCCAGGAAATTCAGAGCAGTCTCTGTACAAGTCTGATTTCCCCTCCTGGAGCCTGGGGGAGCAGAGTGGGCATCAGTAGTGGCCAGGTAGTTCTGTGGCTACAGCTTCCTTAGGGGGTTGTGTTTTACTAAGCTCTTGCTGGGTTTGAAGCCATGAAATCAGGTACTTTGCTTCTAGGGGCAAAGGCACCTCTCTGGCACTTGAGGAAGAGCTCTGCCCTCAACCCCTTTCTTCTCTCTCCCAGAATATCAGTTGCCTCTGGTTCAGTGTTAGCTGGACATGGAAACCTGTGACTTGCCTGAAGTCAGATCAAAGCTAGAATGAAGGCTGAGAATTCGCAGAAAGTCAATAGTTCTCGCTTTGAAGGCTAAATTTTTATAAAGTGTCTTGCCAATGAGGCTGTACACTGCGTCTCAAATCTGTTGGAAGGAACTCTAGTCCCACGTGTCATCTGCATAAGTAAAGATCAATGAAAGCGCCAGGGAGGACCCTTTCAAACGACGAGTTTACAGTTTCCAAGTGTTGGAGGAGGGCAGGGGAGGAGTGAGGAGGACCTTTCAGGTGTGGCTTCCAATCCCGATAGCAGGTTTTGCCTGGGAATCTCTCCCCCACCCTTCCCCCTTCCCTTAATGAAATAAACGCTCCAAGCGCGAGTTTACAGCACACGATTCGGCCCTCGGGGAGCTCTTTCCTGCCGTTGCTTCCACTCCTAAATCCTCACCTCGCAGAGTTGAGGAGTCGGCGACATGAATTTCCAGTTTCTAAGGGTGAGAAGTGTCCGGGTGAGGGCAGATGAGATTGCAGACACTGGCGGGAAGAAGAGGCGAGGGGAGGATCGACGACAGAGGCCGGGAGGGTGGAGGGCGGGATGGGCGCCCGGGGCGCAGGGTCGTTCCTGCGCGCCGTCGGGTGGTTTCTCTCACCTAATACTGGGTCAGGAAGCCGAGTCCGCGCCACCCAACGCCTGGTCACAGTGGGCCTCCTCTTCGCCTGGCGGCGACCAAGATAAGTGAGTTAAAGCCGCCGGGCTTAGCTGGCCTGGAGGTGTATGGTGGCCTAGGACGCGGGCCCGAGAAGGCCTCCAGGTATACCGGGGCCCTCGCTTTCGTTCTCCCGCCTGCGCTCGGAGCTGTTAGGTCACGGACGGATGGGCTCCGGGATGCTCGTGGAGAAGTGACGCGCACTCTGCAGGCGTCTGCCTTCCGGCGGCTAAGCGTCGGTGGCCTTTGGCGGCCGGGGGTCTCCGGGGGCAGAGCTGGGAGAACCAAGCATGTTTCTTAACGGGTCCCCGAGAGCCGCTCGGAAAGGGACTTGAAACATTAGGCATGTTTGTGACTTTAAGGATGTAGGACAACTCAAAATTTCTTTGTCTGCGGGGGCGCATGGTTGTCTAGTGCATTTTCGGTCGCGACCTCTGGGTTTGACGAGCGCCGTGTCAGTGAGCGACGGCATCAGATCTGGGACAGAAATGGATCGGATCCTGGAAGTTTGGGAACCTCAAGCGCCCTCGGCTCGGTGCTTCGTCTTGCCTGTTAGTAAACAGGGTTTGTGAGGAGGGTCAAAGCAGAGAGGCCGCTTTACGCTCGCGGCCTGGCGCAGTGCGCTGGGAGCCAGCTGTAAATGGAGTCGAGTCGGGCTGAAACCGAAGTCATCCGAGTGTGTGCGGCGGTCGCCTTGCATGCTTTTGGAAATCCGCGATGTATTTTTATCGAGATAGCTATTATTTTGGAGTGCCTGCGAACCGATGCTTGCAGCGCCCCGGGGCGTGCCCCGGGCTGGTGCTCTTTGAAGCTCAATGTGTGTCCAGTGGGCGTCCGGGTCGCCAAGGGAGGATGGGGGCGCATGAATGGGCACCGGCCTCGCGGACTTGCTGCTGGCCCCCGGCTTCGCGGCCCTCCGACCCCTGCGGCCCTGCCTTCTACGAATATCCATCCCTGAGCTCTCGCTGTCCCAAGGGGGGAGACCGAGGCCCGGCACGTGCTGCAGCGTCCGCAAATGCGCAAAGGTCCCCCCCCCACCTGCTGCTCGGGCGCCCCTTCCCTGGGGCAGAGTCGAAGGCGGCTCCATTCAGCTTTACCCGCCCGGCTGACCTTGCAGACGCCTGGTCGCCTCCAGTCTAGTTTCTTGGGCCGTCCTGAGGCTCCCGATCGGACTGAGGGCGTGGGTCCCGGGTTTCTAGAGTGAGTGTGTGTGACTGCATGTCCCTAGGGGGCGGCAGAGCGGAGCGCCAGGCCACCTCCCACTCCCACATCCGTGCTTCCGCCGGGCCGGGATCCTTCCAGTTCGCTCGGCAGCGGCGAGACCTCGGGGGTCCAGAGTGGGCACACTTCCTGGGCGCACTGGGGACGCGCCTCGGGGCGCACCCTCGCGGTGTCGCGGTTTCGGAGGGAGGTCTGTCTTGACATTGCCTGAGCCGTGGGCTCCCTGCTCTCGGTGACAAGTTGAGCTTCACAGACGAGGGCGCGCGCCTGGGTTCCCGCCCCGAAGCCGAGGCTGCGCGTGGGCAGGGTCTCGAGACGGAAAGACGATTCGTTCCAGCCGCGTTCCTTATTGAGGGTCGCACGCTAGCTCCAGCGCGAATGAATGGCCTTCCCAAGGGATTCCGGAACCTCTGGGCCCTTGGGGCTCCCGGAGAGGCGGCGCGCCGGCCCAAGGTGCCTGTCCGCTCCTCAGCCTCCCTAGCGCGCTCCCGAGCAGGGAGGGATTTGCGTTCCTCCGGGCGGCTTAGGCGAGCGCTGCGCGGGAAGGAAGGACGGCTAGGGCCCTGGTAGAGGTGACCGCCTTCCTGCCCTCTCCTGGTCCCAGACTACCGGAGGGAAAGTTGCGGGCACAGACCAGGCAACTTTTTCAAGCTGCACCTCAGATCGGGTCTTGGAGGAAAACCCGAGGCCAAGAGTGGAAGACAGCCCAGCGTCACCGGTCAGGAGTCTGGGTCGCCCGAAAAGAGGCGTCAGCCTCCTTCAAAGAGCCAGGGACCCCGATCCATCTTCCTAACCCTGGACACAGCGTGCCGGCGGCACCCGGATCCAATTCTTGGAGCGGGGCTTTAGCAGTTATTTTACCTCCTGGCGTTTTGGAAGTCAGGGTTGTGTGTGTTAAACTCACTGTCCTTCGTACTTAATGAAAAGTCTCAGACATCCTTGGCCCGAAAAGTCCCAGTAGTTTCAACTTTCAGGTTTTGTTCTCACTTCTGGCCGGAAAATCATCTTGGATCTAAGGTGAGGAACATTTCGCTTAGAAGACACCTATTTTTGTTTTAGTTCTTACTTTATTTTAGGCCCGTCTGGGTCTAAAGCAATGCTCACACACAGCCCAGAAGAGGAGCAGAAAGACGGTAAGGTTGCCATCATTCTGTAGCAGGGGAGAGACAAGTCCGCCCCCTCGGAGGATACCGTACTGATAAGGATTGATTGTAGATTGTGTTTGGAATCAAATCGAAATAGTCCCCTCTTTCTGTCCCCTCAGACTGTCTAAATCCAGCCCCAATCCCGGAGCCAGTTGAGGTGTCCCAACAAATTTTGCTCCAGACAATGAACGACTTCCCTCTTGCAATGAAAAAGTCAGCTGTAATAATTGGGCCAGTGAATTTCGTTTCTTTAAATTTTAAAAATTAACACTGAACGTTGTTTTTAACTTTGGGTGGCAAGTAATTGTTGGGATGGAGGTAGTGTTATATGGAAGGAGGTTTTGCCTTCACCTGTGGGACGAAGACAGGTGCCCACTTCTCTCAGCTTGGCCCCTGTCCTCAACCTCCTGCTCCCTGCATCTCTTCACCCCGCTCCCCGCCACCTCCCGCCCCCCTCCTCATCCCAGGCGCTCGGCTTTTACTGTCTCGCACCTCTTTTCCAAAGCAAGTTGAAGCTTCTGAGTGACCCGTCCGAATCAGCGGAGCCGGCGCTTGGCAGGGCAGCAGGGCTGGGTCTGGCCTGGAGAGTTCTGGTGTCCGTCCCGTTCTTCCCCCTACCCCCCCACGGCTGCAGCCAGCAGCGGGACACGCGGCTTTGGGCGACAGCGGTGACACGCCGTTGTTCCGACTTCTGGGCCGGTAGAGTAGAACAGTGCACTCGGGCGGACTCCCCCTGAAGGCCTTCCCTCATGTGGGGGGAGGGAGGAGGGTGGGTGACAGGACGGCGACTCAGTGCCCAGAGAGAGGGGAAGAGGGCGACTTTTAGGTTGATCAGGACTCCAGCTTCACGACCCCAGCCCAACCCTTGTCTCAGTGGGTTGTCTTTGTGCGTGTTGGATCAGAAGAGTGAGGGAACCCCAGGCGTTGAGACCTTCTCCCGCCCCTCCCTTCCGAGGGTGGCGATTCCCACCTGCGGGTGGGAAGAAGGCCCTGGAGTCAAAAGAGAGGGTCTCAGGTATGTGGACCCCGGTTCCCAGCTCTGCAGATCTGAGGTGTGTGTGGGGTGGGAGTGGCAGAGGAAAGCTCGTGGGGGCGCGCAGGCCCCTGGCGGGTCTGCGGTGGTCGCCGAGGTACCGCCCACTGACTCCGCTTCTCGCCCCCCGCAGCGTGGAGCGGGGCGCGAAGCCTGGCCGGGGTGCGGGGCGGAGCTAGGCTGGGACTGGCTGGAAGCCGCCCCGCCCGCGCTTGGCTCTTCGCGCCGGCCCCGGGGGAGGAGTTATGATAATTTCCTTCTCATTAAGGCGATCCGGTTCCCCGGCTATCGCCGGGACACACTGCGGGCGCGGCTTCACCGGTCCACGACAGCGGCCTCTACTCACCGCGGCGGCAGCATTTACGCTCCCGGAGCCGCCGATGTGCTTCCAGTGATCCGGACAGCAAGGCCCTCGCGAGGCGGGGGCGGCGGCAGACGCCTGGCCACCGTGACCCCGGTTTTGGATTTACCGCTCGGGGGGTGGGGGGAGCCTGGATTTAACTGGGCGGCTGTTTTGGGGGACGCCGGACGCCATGTTGTGGAAAATAACCGATAATGTCAAGTATGAAGAGGACTGCGAGGTGAGCTGGGGCGCAGGGGCGCAGCCCCGCCCCGCCCGAGTACAGTCCGGCAAACTGGGTCCAGTGACCGAGGTCGGGGACGAGTGCGTAGGAGCCCTCGTCTCCTGGCCGGACGGGGTCCCAGTTCTCCGGACACTGCTTAGCCCACTTTTTCCGGGGCCCCTTCCCGTATTGGGCCTGTCCCTAAATATCCGGCCCCTGGAAAAGGCCTGGTAAGAGAGAATGGCAGATCCCACCCACACAACTTACCAGTCAGTTTCCTACGAAGCGAACAGCCCTTCTTCCCGTTTTCTCGGAAGAACGCCCGGTCCGCAACCCTTAGACGTGGCCTTTTCGCAGGAAGTCTCCGTCCAAAGGGTCAAATGAGGCTACCTGCCGGCGACACCTTTGCGGAGTCTCCTCCAAGGCGGGCTTGTCACCTGCCCCGCTACCTCCTCGGGGAAGCAAGAAAACAACTGAAGCTTGACTTTCAAAAGAAGTGGGGGCTGGGGCGTGTTGGGGGGGGCGAGGCCTGATGGGGCCTTAAGCACTCGCGAGTGCTCCAGCCTGTCGGACAGGTTGAGCTAGAGTTTCGGAGAGTAGGAGGGAGGGAGGCGGCGAGCGGGAAGAGGAAGAAGACGCAGGCGGCGGGAGGCGAGCACCAGAGCGCATGGAGAAGGGAGCCCGGGCTGCCGGGACGCTAGAGCGCACGGCGCCTCCGGGATTCCAAGGGGCTGCCCCTGCTTAGCAGGCCCCGATGCTTACGCTAGGGGGCGACAATCCCTTGTTTCTCCCGTTTCCTGGCTACCCTTGTGACTCTCTCTCTCCCTCCCCCCCCTCCATCCCGCCCCGGGACCGATGAAGACACATCTTTTAGGAATTAAGTCGGACCGCCGCAGGGCGAGTGGACGTGCGCAGGCAAGGTTGCCCAATTTTCAGGGTCTTTCATTCCCTCTCCGCACCCGGATGCGTGGGAACTCTGACTGTGGCCGGGCAGGGCGATCTCACTTCTTAGCTCCTTTCCGTCCGTCCTGGCTAGCAGGGAGCTCAGCCCTGGCCGCGGCTTGCTCCCTCCCAAATCCCTCGGGCGGCGTGGGGTGGCTGCCACTAGCTGGGAGCACCACCTGCCTGGAGGTCTTTGCCCCGAGGGCGTGGAAGGGAGGGTCCCTGGGGCGGGGGAAGATGCGCCCTTCCCGTGCCGTTCGCTTTATCCTTGCCCGCTGGTTGCTTTTCGCCGCGCCTCTCCAACATGTGCGGACTGGTGAGCGAGCGCGCTCTGCACGGAGTTCGCCTCATGCCGACTTTCTCCCAGGGCGCCGGCTACAGCCGCAGCCCTGGCCTTTCCTGGCCCCAGACTTGGGGATCCAACATGAAGCTTGTGAGTGCCTCGGGCACCGGAGCGCCCAGGCCTTCGCTGCCGGGCGTTGAGAACTTGTTCCTCTAGGTCTTAAACCAGCCTCTCCTTCCCGCTGCGGATTTGCGGTTTACAATGAGGTTCCCGGGGCGCATTGCCCCTGGGTGCCCTCGAACCTGGGGCGGGCTGGGTGGGGCGCGCGGCTCCTCCTGGCGAGGCTGGCCTGTTCGCAAGAGCAGGGTTTCGTACTAACCGGGTCTCCTCTCCTTCCCTCCCAGGATCGCCACGACGCGAGCAGCAATGGGAACCCGCGCATCCCGCACCTCTCCTCGGCCGGGCAGCATCTGTACAGCCCCGCGCCGCCCCTCTCCCATACCGGAGTCGCCGAGTACCAGCCACCACCCTATTTTCCACCGCCCTACCAGCAGCTGGCTTATTCGCAGTCGGCGGATCCCTACTCGCACCTGGGAGAAGCTTACGCCGCCGCCATCAACCCTCTGCACCAGCCGGCGCCCACTGGCAGCCAGCAGCAGGCCTGGCCCGGCCGCCAGAGCCAGGAGGGGACCGGCCTGCCCTCGCACCACGGCCGCCCGGCCGGCCTGCTGCCGCACCTCTCCGGGCTGGAGGCGGGTGCCGTGAGCGGGCGCAGGGATGCCTACCGCCGCTCCGATCTGCTGCTGCCCCACGCGCACGCCCTGGACGCCGCGGGCCTGGCGGAGAACCTGGGGCTGCACGACATGGCGCACCAGATGGAGGAGGTGCAGGTGAGCGGCGCGAGGCTCTCTCCCGGACCTGTTTGTCTTCCGGTGTCCCCTCATACTGCGCGTCCCCCAAACTTAAAGGAAACTTTGTCATTTGTCCCCCAGAATGTCGACGAGCAGCACCTGCTTCTGCACGATCAGACTGTCATTCGCAAAGGTAAACAACAGCGACAGAGGTTTTGCTTCTTGGCTACACGCAGTATCCATTTGGGGGGTTGACAACCTTCTGGCAGCGGAGGGGAGTAATTTGGTGGCCAACAAGTGACATCTGTGGTGGAGGGGACCTACGGAGACTAGGTTTGTAGGAGTGAGAAGAGGGGATTTCTTTCTGACTTGGATGAAAAGGGTCGCTTTGGTGTAACTCTTAAGGAACTGTCTCTATGTGCGGATTTGTTAACTCTTCGGTTCTCTGGGAAACGTGACCCTCTGGCTAGAAGGGTGTTTCACAGTTCTGGAGAAACTCTTTCAGTGCTCCCACTGCGACTTAATTCCAGCCCCTCCCCTCTCACACACACCTTACTTGAAGGATTGGTTCTATATCAATTTTAATTGTTGAATGAGTTTACTTGGCTTTATTTCTCATTTCAAACTTGACCTTTGAAGGGGTCCTTAATTCCGACCTTAAAGAAAAGTTTTGAAAAAGTGGCCTAGGAGATAAACCGCTGTAAGCAAGGACCGAGCCGTGTGATCCGCCCCAGGCTGGTGTTGAGGAGAGGAAGGGATTGAGAAAATCAGATTACTCTTGAGTGACTGGCTCATGAAATGCTGTTACATCTGACAGGATCACCCAGCTGGCTGTTTAGGAAGTGGAGTGATCCCAAATTAAAGGTAGTTAAGGTCTGTTACTTGGAATCAAAGTGCCTGAATACTGGATGAAAATAGTTTGGAGAAAAATTGGAAAATAAACTTTCCCAGTAAACTCAGCTGCATGGATTAATTTGTATTTTTTAATTTACTGTGATCAGTTACACTGAAGGGTTTTGGCCCAGGAGCTGAATGTGCCCTGTGTTTTTAGTTGTTCATTGATTGAGAAGGAAAAAAAAAAAACAGCATTTATTTAGTACCGAAGCCAGCTTCTGAAAGCAAAATGTTCTAATTAAACCGATGACAGCGATGGCCAGGAACTGAAAAAAACTCCATGCTTGGGATCTTGACTAATTAACTTCCCAAGGTGTTAACTTGTGAATTTCAGATCTGATTATCTTTGAAGAAAGAATATGGCTTTAAAAAAGTCTGTTGGCAATCTCTAGTCCAGCATGGGAAGCTGTGTCTGATTCCCCTTTCAGCTTTGCTTAGTGGTTTTGGAAAGGTCTCCTCCTGCTCTGGTGTGCCTTTGGTGACCACCAGCTCTGGTGTCCCCCCACAGGTCCCATTTCCATGACCAAGAACCCCCTGAGCCTTCCGTGTCAAAAGGAGCTGGTGGGAGCTGTGATGAATCCCAGCGAGGTCTTCTGCTCTGTCCCTGGAAGACTGTCCCTTCTTAGCTCCACGTCTAAATATAAAGTGACGGTGGCTGAAGTGCAGAGGCGACTGTCACCACCTGAATGCTTAAATGCCTCCTTACTGGGAGGTGTTCTCAGAAGGTACTGGGGTGCACAAACTCTGGGCCATGCAGTTGGGTAGTAGAAGGCAAATATATAAAAGAGCCAGGAGGTATTTTTAACATTGATGTAACTTTTATACCTAACGCTGAATTCTAATTGGCTCAGCGAGAGTTTTTTGTACATTTCTTCCCTTTTAGAAAGTGCCAAGTGCAGAAGGAAGTGCTAAAACAACTCGAACAAATTATCATTGGGTTGGATTTGATTCCATGTATCAAGTGGCAGCATCTGCATTGAGAAGGGGGCGCTGCATGGGTTTTTGTCCCCCCAGGGAGTTTTTTTGAGGGGGGGGCTCTGCTGCAGTTTTCCAAGTGAAAATTGGAATGAAGTCTACTTCAGCATAACTTGCAGTGATCTGTGATTTCTTTAAAAAAAGGGGGGGGGGAGTGATGAGGAAAGCTTTTGGTTTTGAATTTTATAGAGATTAACATTTTTATTACGATAGGAATAATGTGTGTAGTCTGACAGATTTCAGTTTTGACAGCGGCACTTAGAGAGTTAGAATTTTCAAAGTGTGAGGGTTTTTTGTTTGTTTGTTTGAGGGTAGCCAACTTTTTTTGTTTTGTTTGTCTTCTCCAGAGCCAAATCCAAAAATGGAGGTCGGTCTTTGCGGGAGAAATTGGACAAGATTGGGTTGAACCTTCCGGCCGGGAGACGGAAAGCTGCTCACGTGACCCTCCTAACATCTTTGGTGGAAGGTCGGTGCCACTGTGTTCTTGATTGCTAGTCTTCAACACAGGAAAACCAGCAAATGACTTGGTCACAAGCAGAGAGACCTGAAAGCAATTTGAATCGTTACTTCGTTATAACGAATCAATAGTCAGATATGCTAGCATATCTGTGGCTGTTTTCTGTTTTCTGTTAGGGAGAATCAGTGTTACAAAGAAAATGGTTTTCTGACCTAAGAAACATGCCACAGCAGTGGTGACACATTTCCTATTAAATGAACTGATTTTTGAAGGAGGCAGCCAATCAGTTCATAAGTCTTTATAAACCTGGTATTTTTATCTGGTGGGCAAAATTAACATTTCGGAGGCATTTTTGTAGCCATAGATATTGGGAACAAGGTCAGTGTATACAATGGGACTGGCCCAATTCACCATTCCTTTTCTCCATCAAAAGAAGAAAGTAATGGGACCCCCGGCCCAAGAATAAGCCCCTGTCCCCAGTCCTCAGACCGTTGGATGTGGCATTCTAGTTTCTTGAATGGGAGACCCTTCCCCCAACCTGGAAAGCAGCCAAGAACACAGTACAACCTTTAAAAAGGGGAGAAGAAAGAGTAAATAATTTTTTTTTTTAAACAAAGCGAGCAGCAAGCACATTGCGACTGCACATAGGAAGGTGGGGTTGGACACTGCAGCTCTGCCTCTGTCATGGCATCTGTGAGCACTGGGTTCTGGCTCCTGGTGCTATCTTTTGAACAGTGTGTTTCCCTGGCCCCATGGTGTGACTGTAGCACTCGAAGACTTGGCTGGGTCCCTCTACTTTTTCAAGGGCCTTCAGAGGTCAAGGACTGGCTGTGTGAGAACAGCTGTCCTGCGTGGAGGGTGGTGGCTGTGTGTGGAGAGCACGTGTGTGTGGCTCTGTTCTGCTTGCGTTCTTACCAGCCAGCCAGGGGTGCTTGAATGAGAGTGTACTGTGCCCAAACAATAGCTCTCAGACTGATGCACCCATCCAGGGCTTTGGCCTCCATCTGGGTTTTTACAAAGCTCTTTAGTCTTACATAACCTGGGCCCAGAAAGGCACTTCTGCTGGGAGGGGATTTCACTGGCTTTCTCCCTCTGCATATCACCCCCCACCCCATAACCTGGTACAAGGGGATGAATTCCAACTTGGTAGGTAAGGCTCTTTTTTCTTTTGATGGTACTGGAGTTTGAACTCAGGGCCTCGTGCTTGCTAGACAGCCACTGTACTGCTTGAGCTGCTCCACCAGTCCAAGGTTCTTAATTACGTATTTATGTGTTTCCAATATAACTCCCCCCCGCCCCCCTCCCCCACTTTTTTTTCCTCTTTTTGCGGTGCTGGGGATTCAATCTAGAGCCTCAAACGTGCTAGGTGATTGCTCTACCACTCAGCCCTCACCCTCCTTCCCCTCTTTTGACCGGATCTTACTACATATCCCAGGCTGCCTCAGCCTTCTGAGAGCTGGAATTATAGGCACTCACCATTGCACCCAGCTTCTCCTTCCTTTTTTGAAAAGAAACATTCTTGAAACCTGCGCCTTCCTTTGAAAAGGACGTAGGGTGGCAAAGACTCTACCACTTGCTATGTTCCCATCCTTTTTTTTTTTTTTTTTTCCCCACTTTTAGTGTTTCAGATAGGGTCTTCTCCCTAGCATTGCCAGGTTGGCTGCTGACCTTGATCCTCTTCTACCTCTGCCTCCTGAGTAGCTGGGGCCATCACTCTTTCACTTGTAGTTTTCCTGGGATAGAACTCCCACTGGCAGGACCCTGGAAGCACTACCAGCTGGCAGTGTGTTGTCCTGTACATGATTTCATTTTAAAAGGCAGAGTGACTGGTAGACAGTGCCAGAAAAAGAGAGAAAGGACAGTTTGCTGATGGTGACCACAGCCTTCCAGCACCTAAACCTGTTGTCATTTCTGATTTTTCCAGGGGAAGCTGTTCATCTGGCTCGGGACTTTGCATACGTCTGCGAAGCTGAATTTCCTAGCAAGCCAGTAGCAGAATATTTAACCAGACCTCATCTTGGAGGACGGAATGAGATGGCCTCCAGGAAGAATATGTTGCTGGCAGCACAGTGAGTGTCCAGACTGCTGCAGACCTCGAGGGGGAGGTCCTGCCTGGTCACCATTGCTCAGAGACATGAAAGAAAGTGGCAAGAGCTTAGTTCCCAAAGTCAAGCCTGGGAGCTTCTTGTTGTGCAGCTAGGAAAAGTAAAGCATTTTGCTCAGTAATGAAGGTCTTGGGGCTGCCTCGTTGCTTGATGCCCAAAGTTAAGCCAATCTTTCATTCTTGTATTTGCAGATCTTTATAAAAAATTTGCTTTGTCACTTGAAGTAAAAAGAGATTGTGTGTCTTGTACTTCCTTAATAGTAGGACTTCTGTTTTTTTTACATGGCATTATCAGGGTAATTTGTAGACTTCTGGGTGAATTCAGTGACTCTAAAGCTACGTAATGCAGCAGTGTAGAAAGTGACAGTAAGTTGATTTTAAAATCCTGCTAGATGACGCAGAACTTGTCACCTCAGGGAATGAGGCAAGAGAGCAATGCATTGGCTTGGGCACAGAGCGTGAGCAGTTAGATGTGTTCCTGATGAGGTTTATTCATTGAAACCGATTTGTATCAAAATAAACTGACCCCTAACCTCATGGTCCTGGTGACCTTGGCCAGTTGATTGGGAGTTGGGGGGCTTTATTCTGTTATCTTTTCTAATTGCAGCACAAATTAAATGAGATAGGTCTCGGAGGAGCTTAGCTCAGGGCTGGGCTAGTTATAGGTGGTAAGTGCCATAACTGTTCCTTTATGTCACACAGTTCTGAGTGCCTCCTGGGGTCCTCCTCCAGGTGATTTGCTCTGTGTTCTTCACCTGTGAAGAGCCAGGTGAAGCTCACCAGGGTCACCCGACTGTCTTCACAGGCAAGTGTGTAAAGAATTCACAGACCTCCTCAACCAAGACAGAACACCCAATGGGAACAGCAGGCCCACCCCCGTCTTGGAGACGAACATACAGAACTGCTTGTCTCATTTCAGCCTAATTACACATGGCTTTGGCAGCCAGGCCATCTGTGCCGCAGTGTCCGCCGTGCAGAACTACATCAAAGAAGCCCTGATCGCCATTGACAAATCCTACATGAACCCCGGAGACCAGAGTCCTGCCGACTCCAACAAGACGCTAGAGAAAATGGAAAAGCACAGGAAGTGAAACGAGGGTGAACGGAGGGCCAGAGAGTCAGGAAGGGAAAAAGGACTGCGAATCTTTCTCCACTTGGACAGGACAGGCCGGGACGCCCTCCTGTCTGGGGGAAGTTTTTTACCTACCTTGTCAGAAAGGCCTCCTCACTTCCATCCCAGCAATTGGGACCTTACCCCCCACACCCCCCTTGGATTCCTTGTGGTTTCTCTAGGGCTGGAAGTACCTAACATTGGACATACGATTCCAAGATGACAAGTACTGGGTTTTTTTTTTTTTTATTTGTTTTTTTAACTCATTAAGGTTTTTTTTTGTTTGTTTGTTTTTTGTTTTTTGGGAACCTCATTCTTTCTTGGAAAAGCGGTGCTACAAGATTTAGAACTTTTGCATAAATTCCCTGCGCTAACAAGAAACCACACTTAGCTGGTGACCTGTCAAATTGATGTGACTCAGATCAACAGTAACTTATTTTTTGCAGTGTTAAGATAATGGCTAGTTTTTATGTCCACTAAATATTTATCTTAAAAATTAGTATTTATCTAGCTTCTCCAGAGATCACATCCTCCAGTGGGAGGCAAAGGTTGTGTGGGCTTAGCAGCTAGTTCACAGGTGCCATTGACACCCTTTGAACCCTGCAATTAACAGGGGCCTTCTGGTTTTAGAAAACTTGTAGAAACAAAGCCTGCTGATTTTCATTTTCCTTGTCTTTTTTTTGTTTTGTTTTTTTAACTTTGAAAGTTTTAGTTCTTTAAATGGGAGGCTCTCTGAAGTGACATGTTCCTTTAAGGTACTGAAGCCTTCTTTGCATATTTATTTCAAATCTTGATTTTTTTTGACTAAACTTGAAAAGGGTAGGCGGGAAGCCATTGCTGCTGCCTGTCCCTCCCAAGTCCCCGTGGAGGCTCTGTGTTTTGAGAAACTGTGTTGAGTGTACAGATTTTATTTATGCATAATTTAATAGAGTCTGTAAATACTGGTGCACTTCTTACGACTTTGGAGACATGGGATTCAGTTTTAAAATTAACTTTTAATGGTGATGGGGTAATCTATAACACCTTTTCAATTTTATCCCTACGTACACAGGGTATTCAGAATTAAGAGGACACTTGGCTTTGTTCTTGGTTTGTCAGGTTCTACTTAATTGGAGTTCTGTTCAGAAAGCAATAACTTTACATCTCATTCCTTTGGGGCTGAACCCTCAGAGGAGCGTGCTGTACAGTTCGTGTGGGTGAAATTCAGATTTGGAATTGAACTCCGTTGCCTGTAAATGTTCCCCGAATAATTGTTGTGTGTATGATACCTGTATAATAAAAGTATTCTCGATAGAATCCGTGGAAGTCTGCTTCTCACCTGATTTTTAAGGCTCTAGGATCAGTGGAATGGTGCTTGACCACGGTTTAGTTAATACGATAGACTGGGTAGGAAAGCCATGCTGTCGGGGGAATGTAAAGTTTCGGTTTTCTCCCTAGTACAGTTGTTTAGCTGCCCCAGGCCTACAGCTGAATCAATGTCTCTGACCTGCAGATAGTACCATCCTTCTACCCAGTGTTAGGAAATGTGGTCAGACAGTTGATTGACACTAACAGAGAGGCCAACTCTGTTTTTTTAATGAGTGTGATGGGTTTGACACCAGGACATCAGATAGCATGTATGCACTTTACCACTGAGCTATGCACCAGTCTAAGACTAATGATTTGAGAACAGTGTCCTTGTGAGGGTCCTGGTGAGAACAGGTGCATCGATGTACTGAGTGCTGGCCAGGAGTGGACATGAGCTTGCCGCAGGTATTGCTCTTAGGAGATGTTGGCATTCAATCAAATGCAAACGATGGAGGTAAAGGATATCAGTGTTTGCAAGGAATGGAAAGTCTCCATCTTTGGAAATAGGATCACTGCTCCTCTCCCCAAGGTATCCTAGTCATTTTGGCTGCCTGCAGGGCAAACCAGAGAACGGGTCTTCACGCTCCCTGGGGCGTGGCAGCGCCTGGCAGGGCTGATAGACCGGCTGGATGTTTTCAGGCATCTTGGATGCACACTGCCAGCACTCGACTTCAAGTTGAAGTGGCCTGGCACATCCTCCAGGAAGTGATCTGTTTACAGCTTGGCATGTGTGGCCTGGCTTCAAAGGGAAGTGGGAGCAAAAGGATTTTCCACTTTGGATAAGGCTATTGCTTCAACTCCAGACTTCATAATCCTTAATTCATAATTCTCTACGAAACTCAGCGATTCCTGACTTCTTGTTGGCATTGGATGTTATTAAGTAATTTAAGCACTGCCAACCTAATACTTTGCTCTTGGCAGCTTGTCCTTGGCCACAGAATGTTCCCATTAAGTTGGATTTATCTGGTTGATATGTCAAGATCACAATTGCTTTGCTTTAGAGCGGCAAAAAGAGGTCTTAGGTTGGCAGTTATGTCTCAATCAAGACTTAAGACATTAGGTGTTAGAAGGAAGTCACCAGGGCAAAGGGCCGAAAGAAGGAGGACAGTTTTCTTATTGACAACCTGCTTTGAGACTAGAGCCTGGCTTGGAGTTGCTGTGCCAAATTGCACTGTAGACAATGTGTTGGAAATGCCCCAAAGTCAACCCAGGATTGCAGTGAGTCATAGACAGGGCTTTTATGCCTGGCTCCTTGCTGGCTTCCCCTTTATCCTTGTTCCCACTGGAAGTGCAAGGACTGCTGGGATGACTGCTGGGCCTCCTGAGTTTGGTGCTTGAGAATAGCAGGGTTTCTGCCCAATGCGCTTGAGCTGGGGCCATACAAAACCACCAGGTATCCTGTACTCAGTAAGCTCTGGTTTATTTGTGAAAGCTGCCCTTTGCTATCAGGCTGGGAGGTCCTTGCTTCTCCTGTGCAGATGGGCTTTGTTTTAAGCCATCCCTGCCCACCCCCAGCCCTATGAGCAAGGATGCTCCTTTACCCTCTGCCCTTCCCTGCTCTGTTGCTGCACCTGGTTGTTCACACCTGGCTTGCTTTTTATTAAGGCCCTCTGGGCGAAGCAGTAAAGAGGCTCCTTTTTCTCTGCTTGCATTGAATGAAGCGCTATCCATTCTCCAAAGGCACACACTTCTCAGAATTCCACGCAATGAGGGGCTTCTTGGCAGGACCCTGAATCTGTTGGCTGGAGACTGGCACTGGAGACCTGGCACCTAGTAAGCGCCCTCCTGCCATGCAGGCGGCATACCTGTGGGCTTCTACAAGGCCAGAGAGAAAGGATGTTTTCCACAGCGGTCATGGTTGTCTTATCTTCCATGTGTGTATGATTTAAGTTGTGGGTGAGAGGAAGATCCGTCTGTTTCTCATTTGAAATGACTCCATAACAATGGCCATCATTCTTCTCTTTTTGGGGGTCTAGTGTCAGGCTGAGCTCTGAGTCCTAAACTTCCTGGATCTGAATGTTAAAAACCAAAGCGAAACAAGGTAGAGTCATGGACGGGTGAGAAACAAAGAGAAGGTTCTCTCAGGGCTTGGCAGTGCTGGGGCCCATAGCCTGGTGTCCCCAGGGAAGGTTGGCCTTGCTGCATTCCTGGAGAACTCACACTTTCTCCCAAGGACCTGGGGGCTTCTCCAGCCTTTTCCTTTTGCGGGTTGATGGAGCAGTGTCCCGAGGTGGCAGTTAAACCTGCCTGTCTTCACAAGCAGGGGACAGCTTTGAAGTGGCTGCGGTTCCTTTTAGTATGTTTGATGGCTTGGGGCTCTTGACCCTGCATGACAGTGACCCTGAGCAAAGTCTGCTGAAGCCAGCTGAGCTGAGTGGGTAGGCTTTCTCCTTCGGTGGAGATGAAGGAAGCCTGCTTTCCACACTTGGTGCTGCAATGCCTGGAAGAGTCTTCCCTGTGTGAATGTTGCTCTTGGAAGGTATTGATTTACCTTTCTCAGCTCTTAATCTGCCTTCAGTTTCTCTTCCAGTTCACAGCCTTCATTTACATCTCTGAAATCTGCAGGTCACTCTCCTGGGAGGTGTGGTGACACTTGGAGCCTTTAAAACCTGCCGCTTCCTGGCTTTGGCAACCCAGGCTGGCAGGGCACCCAACGTCCATTCTAATGCAAGGCATATCACACCTTGAGAGTCTTTGTCCGCCAGTATCGTGGAACCTGATCTTCTACAGAAACAAACTTGACCTTGTGAGTTTTAGAATTACTTTATATTAAAGCCCATGTTTAGAACGCTTGATTGTTTTTGGCACAGTGATAAACACTGTAATTTTCCTTCTCCTTTTGGATAACATCTTGATGGGCAAGATGGGCAGAAGAAAAGCATGGAAATTGAGTACAGAGTTGAAAGGATTGAGTTCCAGGGACTCCAAGAATGTTTACAAGGTCAAATCTATCTCAGCAGTTTTTTTTTTTTTTCAAATTATTAGTTTATTTTAAGACACATGTACCCAACACTTGAGGTGGAGGCAGGAGGATCAAGAATTTGAAGCCAACTGGGCATGGTGGCTCATGCCTGTAATCCTAGCTACTTGGGAGGCTGAGATCAGGGGGATTGAGGTTCCAGGCCTGTCTGGGCAAATAGTTGGTGAGACTCCATCTCAAATAACCAGATCAGAATGGACCAGAGGCATGGCTCAATTGGTAGAGTGCTTGCTTTCCAAGTGTGAAAACCTGAATTCAGACCCCAGTCCTACGAAAAGAAAGAAGAGTTTGAGGCCAGCCTGGAATATGTAGTGAGACCTTGTATTCAGGTTTGAAAAAAAAGTAGGTGTTACTTCTGGCTTCTCAACATTTTCCAAGGAGAGATCTGAGCCTTAAGGAATGACACTCCTTTCCTCATTCTTTTTGGTGGTACTGGGGTTTGAACTCACATCCTCATGCTTGCTAGGCAGGTGCTCTACCACCGAGCCACTCTGCTAGTCCCTGTAGCTTCCTTTCTATAGCAGAGTTCTTTCTGCAGAAAGGACAAGAAAGCCACCACTATGTCACACAGCAGTCAAGGACACTCCTCCCACATAGCTCATGGTCAGCTGTGGTCGCCAAGAAAGCTGCCTTTTCTGGGAAGATACAGGTTT